AAAAAAAAAAAGAAGAAGAAGAAGAAGAAGAAGAAGAAGAAGAAGGAAACAGGAAGAATCATACAAGCGTGATAATTTAGCCAGCTCACTTAGTCTAGCAATCTTTATCCTCTTCCTGATACTCAAAGTCAGGCATACTAACTTCCTCAAAACATACAACGTAAAGTAGTGGATTAACCAATAATTCATAAATCATACATACTAGCAGAGTATCACAGGAATGAATCACAACCCCAATATATGTAAGAAAGTTATTTCTTTAAATATCATATCATTGTACAGGTTGCAAGCAAATAAAACACAATCTTAGATTTGTTTGTCTTACATGCTCCTCAACAACTGCATGAACAGCTGCATCTGGCAAAATTGGCCGACCAATTATTGTCTGTGTCTGTGAGCCTAGCATAAGAACCTTATTGAGGACCAACTGCAAGATACCGAGAGCAACATATGTCGATTCTGTTAGTGCACATTTCAAATGAGCATATACACAACTTCAACTTTCTCATTATATCAGCACAGAACGAACAGAGAACTGACGGATTCTCATTAGTAACAGATAAATTAACTAATGAGGAATAACTCTGAAGTTTGAACATTGGGTTTGGGACAAAAAACTCCATGGGGTTTTTATATTTTAAATTTTTATTTTTTTCGACCAGAAGATTTGGCAACAAGATATGCCAACACTTGGGACACACATGAAGCCTACTTAACTGAGATAGTTTCAAGAAATAATCAATTTTAGCCACAGAAACATGACTTGGAAAACTCACTTCACACCATACAATCACTACTCGAAAATTTACATTTCTATCGCTAGATATAAGAATAACAACAAAGCCATATATGTAGCAATAATTAAGTTTCCCAATTAAAAACAAACATTAGTTTTGCAGCAATAAACACAAGTGTACCTCACCTTGTCGTTGACATCACAGTGCTTCAATCTCTCGACGTAAATGCTATCCCCATTGCTCACCTTGAACTGATGTGATCCAATCTGAGTAAGAGGAACAAGGAAATGTTTAAAGCAAATGCTATAAAATCTATTTAAAGATGAAAAAGGAATTGATTTTCAGACCTGAACAACAGCAAAAACCGGCTCATACGGTTTGAAAACCTCATCTGACTCCTGAAGCGGACCAATGACTGTGTACCCGATTTCGGCAGCCTCTTTTTCCTTGTCACGAGCTGATAAAACAGGGCTCTCGTTTTCACCCGCAGCTTCTTCTTCTTCTTCTTCTTCTTCTTCTTCGTCTTCTTCCTCTTCTCCCCCTTCACTGTCATCATCCTCTTTTACACCTTCGTCGTCATCATTTTGATTATCCCCGTGCCTTGAACAAAAATGCCGCGTAAATACGGTCGAACGCGGGTAAACATTAATGTTGTCGCCGGGAATGTAGTGACTGGGTTTCCGGTTGAGGGTTTGGCTGAGAGCGTCGACGGAGCTAGCAGCAAGAGTTTGGGAAAATGGGGTTAGACATTTTATGGAATGGAAATAACGGGTTAGAGATTGCAAGCAACGTCGATTCGCCATTGATGCGTTTTTGAGAATTGTTGGACTCGAGCAGGGGTTTCAGAAATGGGCTGAATCTAGGGTTTTTTGGTGGTACTTTTTTGTCAAGAAACGTGAGCAGCTGTAGCGACTTTCAAATAGTTTTTTACCCAAACAATTATCGACCTCCATTTCAACAACTTAAATAAATAATAATAATAACAACTAAAATTAGACATGACCAAAACATGGGCCGAGTCCAGGCCCGGTGGGCTCGGAATCATGGATCCAAAACCTGCACGAACCTAGGTCGGGCCAGTTTTCATGGCCCGCCGGGCCGGGTCGAGCCGTGTCGGGCCTGACCTGGGTCTGGGCCCATCCAAATTAAAAAAAAAGAAAATAAAAAACAAACAAAAGCATGTGGTTTTTTCGGGCCGAATCATACCAGCCTGGCCCGCCGTGTCAGGGTCGAAAAAACAAGGCTCTGGACGGACCCGATTAAAATTCGAGTCGAGCCCGAACCCGTGGTCAACGGGCTTGTCCCAGGTGGCCCATGGCCACCTAACTAAACTTCCTTAAAAAAATAACACTAGAATAGTAGAAATTTATAACAGCCGATTGTATTAGTTGATTGAACTAGCGGATTTAACTAGTTAATAACATGAATCCTCTCTATATATTAATTCAAAACGTGGTGAGTCTAAATGGCAGAGTCGCACGCTTTGGAATCATACGTGTCAAACTATTATGTTTCGTATTTAGGTTCGGATAAAAAATTTGAAAACATAATCGACTTGGAATCAACCATAAATAATTATTTCATCTTATATTATTTCATCCTATAAATATCTCTTTCATTACCATAAATTTATTGTCTCCCATGAATTTGTGTATTAACTCTATCATATTATTATGGTAGTATATCCTAAGATAATTTCGTAAATTTGGTATCTGTAGTTTAAATGAGTTTTTAACTAATTCATACATGTATTAATTTTCCATATTTTATATCATTCAATATACATTTTATATCATTTTTTAATAGCATAAATTTAATTCACAAAATAGAGTATATATCTGTTAGAAAATAGAAGAGGAGAAGAAAAAAAAACTTTATTTTATTATTATTCTTCTTATTGGCTTCTTCGCTCTTACAACTTGCAAATGACTCGCATAGGTATTTATAGGTATAAGAATACCTTTTCAAACTCACCTAATTACTATGATGCATTTCACCTACATTTTACCTTCATGCATCTCATAACTTACATTCATGCATTATGTAAATTCCTAGAACATGACCACCTAGATACATGGATAGACTCTTAGACATTAACAAACATGAGTCCAACTCTGCGTACATGGAATAGTCGAATTGATCAATATTTTTGGCTAAATGGTTTTGAAAAATGCCCACATGAACAGACTCTTTACATCAAAAGAAGCAAAAATGACGATGTGTTGCTTGTGTGCTTGTACGTGGATGATTTGATATTCACGGACAATAATCCGGCGATGTTCGATGACTTCAAGAGAGCTATGGCGAAGGAGTTTGAGATGACTGATATTGGGTTGATGTCCTATTATCTTGGCATTAAAGTGAAACAAAAGGACGATGGGATATTTATTTCGCAAGAAAAATATGCAAAAAAAATCCTCAAGAAATTTGAGATGGAGCATTGCAAGCCCGTGAGTACCTCCTTGGAATGTGGAGTAAAATTATCTTTGCATGAGGATGGTGAGAAAATTAATTCCACATACTTCAAAAGTCTTGTGGGAAGTTTGAGGTACTTGACTTGTACGAGGCCAGACATTCTATTTGGAGTTGGACTCATAAGTCGCTACATGGAGGCTCCTACTTCGTCGCATTTGAAAGTGGCGAAAAAAATTCTTCGCTATATTAAAGGTACAATTGATTACGAATTTTTCTATACAAATTCGCAAGATTTTAAACTTGTTGGCTAATGCGATAGCGATTGGGCCGGTGACGTTGATAGCCAGAAAAGTACTACTGGATTTGTTTTCTTTATGGGAAATTCTACATTCACGTGGAATTCGAAAAAGCAACTGATTGTGACTCTTTCTACTTGTGAAGCGGAGTATGTAGCTGCAACTTCGTGTGTTTGTCACGCTATTTGGTTGAGGAGTTTGTTGAAAGAACTCAATTTTCTTCAAGAAGGTCCGACTGAAATTTGTGTTGATAATAAGTCGGCAATACAATTGGCTAAGAATCCGGTGTTTCACGAGAGGAGCAAGCATATCGGTACGAAGTTCCATTTTATTCGAGATTGTACCTCTAAGAAAGAAGTGAAGCTGGAGTACGTGAAGTCGAAAGACCAGGTTGCGGATATCTTCACGAAGCCGTTGAAGCTCGATGTGTTCAAGAACTTACGATTTTCTCTTGGAGTGATGAATTTAGTTTAAGAGGGGGTGTTGAAATATTAAACTAAATTAATATTTCAACAATATTTATATTGAATAAAGTAGTTTTAAATGAGTTTTTAAATTACCTATTAATATTAATTCAAAAAAAATATAATTATTTAAACTAACTTAACTACAAAATAGTTATCTGATATAAATTAAAAATATATAATATAAGATGGTAAGTCGTGTAAGTGGCGATATCAATTTATATATAAATAATAATATATTTTTTTAAGAAAAATATTAAAAAACTAAAATAATTTTTGTTATTATTATTTAATTTTAAATATAATTTTCTTAACAAGTACCCGTGTAGTATACGGGTATTATACTAGTTTATAGTTGTTACTAGCGGATTTAACTAATTAATAACTTTTTAAGTTGTATTGTTATATTTTTTACTATTATCTCTTATAAAAACATTGTTCTTTTGATATGTTTTTTCAGTATTAATATTTTGAATTAAAAAAATCAAATAAACTTTTTATCGAACAAATCATTTAACAAATCTGATTAGTTAATTTTCTACATGCAATTCAATTTGTCAATTTAGAAAATAAATAATTTACAAAATTGATTAGTTAATTTTCTAAACGCAGTTCAATTCGTTTTAGCAAATTTAGCACCCGCATAAACAAATGTTCCTCATAAATGAAGCACAAGTTCCAATCTATCTATATATAAAAAGGTTGTTGGATAAATCCTTTTTAGAAACTTTTGACCAAATAAATAATATATTTGACATTCTATTTATAGAAAGTTTGAAAACAATAATTGTGTAGTTTATTATTAACGGAAAAATCATAATTTGAATTCAAAATTAATGGTGTAGAGATAATATTGGAACAATAATCTTTGGATAACTCGAAAATCTAATCACTTAAGAGTAATCATATTTGAATTCAACGTAGCTTATTTGTTCAAAACGTCCAAAATATGTCCACATCTTAATTAATTAATTTATTATCTATATCTATATATATATATATATATATATATATATATATATAATAAGAATTACCATTTACCAAAAATAGTAGCAAAAAAATATGTCAGAATTTAATGCAGCTTATAAATAGTAAGTTTTATTATTTTTTTTTATTTTTTTTTCTTTAAAAATCATACAACATTAAATTCTACCTTAAATTTCGGGTTTTAGTTCATTTTATTATTTAAAAAAACCGACTAAGATTTATTAAGTGTGTATGTTTTTATTTTTATTTTTTTCTTAAAAATAACGAACAACATTAAAATCTCGGTCTCTATATTTATGAAATCTCAATTCAAAATATAACAAAACTTTTAGAATCTCGGTCTTTATATTTTTGCCTTTAAAAATTATATTGAATGCTAAAAATATTCTTAAATTGCATAATTAATCAATTAATCTTAATTTTTTTAAAGTTACTATGTTTATTTTTTATTAATATGCATAAAGTAAAAATAATTAATTCATCTTTAGATATATAATTTATAATCTTAATATAATATCATATGGTGTAGACATTTATTATCTGAATCATAAAATATTTTTATTTCATAAAATTAAATATATTTAAAGGAAATAAGAAAATTTCTTCGGATCAATCGGGTGATTGAATTAGGGTACTGCCCAAGTTGATTGAATTACTTTTAGGTGATATTTAAGATAGTCAAAGAATTTGACACAACATGGTTGATCCCAGGTGACTAAGTTATGTATCAGTTCAACCACACCAAATCGATTATTGAACCTAAATATAAATTTTATATTGAAAATATTTTATTACGTGAATGTGATGTAGTCCAAACTTCAAATAATCGTATTAAGAATACTTTTATGACAACATGTTTAATGATTTATAAATACTTATATATCATTTTATTAATATTTTTGTGAATTAAATAATATTTTATTATAATATTTATTAATGTACAGTAAATATAAGGTTTTTAGAACTGGACCATCATCAAAACGATCAAGCTATTTTATTAAATCATTTGTGATTTGTTCAGATTTTAATTTATAAACATTTTAATAGATATATATATATATATAGTACTTTTTGTAACAAATTTAAATAAAATGTGTTGTTGACGGACGTTTCCGGTCAACGGTTAAAAAGATAAATAATGAAGAAGTGATGAGGAAAAGACAAAGAAATACGATTTAATTATGATTTTATTAACTGATCACGAGGTCGGCCTCTCGTACGAGGTCGACACTTGCGATATACTTCCGAATTCTTTCACAAATTCCTTACAAGTCTAGAGAGAGAAAATGTAGTGAAAACAGTTGGGTTTCAACAAACCAAAATAAATGCTCAAGACTTCTATTTATAGGTTCTTAAATGTGATACTGTTAGGATACTGTTTGTGGGTCTTGTCGTACAGTAACTCGGCAAGACAGGCCGGTGTTTCTCTGACTGATTGGGAGCGCCGGGGTGCCGACCTCGGGGTATGACGTTGTCCGCCACTCCAGTTGACTTTGACTAATCCTCAGATCGGCACCTGCTAATTGACGTGGTAACCGGCCCCACTGGCCGGGCCGGCCTCACCCGGTTTCCGGTCTCTCGGATCGTTACCTTTATGGGAGCTCGATCTGGATATCAACTTGTGTTACTTAGATATCTAAACAATTTATAAATTCAAATGTTTAAATTAATTGATAAATAATTTATAAATTTCTATTTTATTTAAATATTTAATTTTATTTAAAATAAATTTAAATATAACAAAATTTATTTAGAAAATTGTATCGATCCTACCAGTCCAACCGACTGGTATTAACAGATTCGAGAGCAAATATTTTATTCGAGCGAATTAGACTGGTTATAAACCGGTTATCGGTCCATCCGGTCGGACTGTGTCCAACCCGGTTTAATTTAAAAACAATGGATAAATTATGATTAATGTTATTTATATAATTAATTATAATACAATCGTAATATTGTTTTCCCGTGCGACGCACTAGTTAGCAAAGAATACAAGTAAAAATATGGAGATAATTCTTTATTTTTTATTCTATTTTTGTTTTTTTCTTTACAATCACAAGTTGTCATTCACCTTGGTTATTCGTAATTCAATTATCACTCCAATTTCAATCTAAACAGGTAATCTACTAATAAAAAAAGAGGTGTTCGTCAACCAATAACAAAAACGTAAAATCAACAAAAGGGGTTATGTAGTAGAATAATTCGAATTAATAAATATATATCTTATATATGTACATACAAAAAATTAAATAAATGTGACAAAACAATGATGGGACAAAAAAAGAAAAATGTTGTTTGTATGAACATGACTATATAAACTGTCACAAATGGACACTTCCTAACCCGCTATTAACTGATGACAAACTTGAAACAGAGAAGGAAAGAATTAATGATATAACAACAATAATCTCGATTATAAACAAAATTTTTAGTTCGTATTAGGTATCTTTACTCGCCGGCAATGACTTCCGATGACGCCTTGACCTCCTCTCTTTACCACGTCTTACTGGTATTTTTCGGGCTCGGTTAATACTTACAACAGTACTGTCTGATGATGAAATCCGTGAATAAGGTTTGTTCGATTTTTCGTTTGATATGATAACTGGCGGTGGAGGAGACAAGGACCAGTGCTCGAGTAAGTCTCGGTGGTAACCCTGCAGTGATAAACAAGTCATAATAATGAAAGTTTCACAAGGATAACCCAAAATAGACAAATATTATACAAGTTATTGATTAAAATTGAAAGTATTAACGTGCTTGGATACAAAATTATCCACTCAAAACGAGTTTTTTTTGCTTAACCATGGTTAATTTTGAAAAATGTGATATGGTTAGTTAGTAGTGAGATTTTGAGCTTACATTAAAACAATATTTAAAATAAAAATATTAAAATTGATTTGATGTAAAAGTAGAAGAGAGATGATATGAAGTGATGGTTAGTTAAATAGTGAATTAATGTTAATGTGATGAGTAAAAAATAACTGATTGATATTATTTACTTATATTGATAATATTGAGTATAGTGGGGTTGGGTTAAAGTTGAGTTAGATTTTGAGTATGAAATGAGTATGGGTTTGAAATAATTTATAAACAAACACATCCTATGAATTAGTTCTTCACGATGGGGATTCGCCTCTTTTTTGCTTATGAGTAGTAGTTTTTCAAATTTTCGTGGCATCTAGAAAATACACTAGAAATATCATAGAAATCTGCAGCTAGCATCCATTGATCAGAAAACAAATAATATCACATTACTTTGTGCACAATAACATCTAAGATTAGGAGTCATAGTCTTGCATATGTTCTCACCTGTGTTAATTCTAACTTGACTTGAAAATACTATCTCGAATTCAATTTCTTTTTTTCCCATCTACATGATTCGATTAATTTAATTTTCAGTTTCTTCGAGTTTCTTCTTTCTTATATCTCCTTGAGTCGTATCTCTTACAAAGGAGTTACATAGATAGAAATTCATCTTGATTTGGAGATGAGCTGCTCGGAAATGATTGAAGTAATTGAATAGAGGATCACTTGGTAAAGTTACGAAGGATGAAAAATGATTCATTTGATATTATGAATACCTGGATAACAAAGTTGCGTCTTTCGCAGTCCAGGAACATATTGATTGTATAATTAGTCTTCGACCAGATTTTGTCCCTCACGGTCGAAAAACTTATCTGATCTCTGGAAGTAAAACGGTCCACTTCGTTAAACCAAAGGCATGTGAAGAGATTGGAGATTGGAATGTGCTCCCTAACTATAACACATCCTTCAGGAACATCTGGGCCAATCACGAAACATGAATCATAATATATAGCATGAATAAATGCTACACTCAAGAAACAAATACAGTATGAGATAATAAAGGAAAAGAGAAAAAAAAAAAATAAATAAAAAAAAAAAGAAGGTTAGGCACTGCTTACCACTGGTTATCGGCAATTTAGCCACAGAATATGGCGTCAAACCTTCCTTTTTATAGAATTCGACTTGGAAATTAATGGAAGCATTGTCATACTTCCCAGCAGCCTTATTAGCTTCTGCTTCTTCAAATACGTCAAAACGCTTATAATGTCTTGATATTGCAAAACTAGCATTCTTCCTCCAAAGAAATCTGCAAGATGAAAGTTAGATCCAGAAAACGTGTTTTTGAAACAAACCCATTGAGATTTTTATTTCAGCTAGCTTATCAGCTAATTTTACCACAATTTTATCAAATAAGCTAGATTTTCAGCCACAAGTCATAAGCTATCAACTATAAGCTCGAAATCACTTAAAAGCTATAAGCTAGCTTATCAGCTAGGTTTACCAAACGTAGCCTACATGTCTTGTTGAGGATATTTAACCTGAGAAATCGGCCATTTGACAGTTTATCAAATCACATAAATCAATTATAATGAACCACAGCTTTTCTATCAAAGCATATGTTACCTTTCTAGAATCTGAAATGGATCAACAACAAGCTCAAGTTTTGCATCAACCCAGAGTGAGTAACGGGCATTGGGAAAAAGTCGGTGCATTAATAGTTTTGGAATCTGCAGGTGCAATAATAGAAAAAACTCAGGACTAATTTAAGACATGTACAGCTCTGCATCATCGTGCACTAGGCTGCATGGACTTGAATTAAACCAAATGCAATAACAGAATACGACACATCATATATTATTCACATTATATGATTTTTTTTACCCCAAAATACGTAACGAGCGTAACATTACTTGAACTTGATCTCAAAGATCAAACAGAGATCAATTTCCTGTCCTAGACGGTTAGACCTACCTTCAAGAAATCTCAGTCACAGCAAATTAGTCTTTTTTTTATTATTATTATTATTTTTTTTTTAATTTTGACATACAACTACCATAGTATACGAATAGAGATAATCATTCTAGATTAGAACTTGCTAATCAGAAAAATCCTAATTCGGGCACAAAAAATAACTAGATAGCTTATGGGGTATATTTTACCTTTCCATTGCGTCTTGGATCCAAATATGGTAGATTTCGAACAACAATGATTCTCCACAGACCAACTTTCTTGTCACTGCCAAGCTCGCTAGAATTCTTCAAAAAAGCTTCCGTTACACTATCCACAAACATGTGAAAGCAGACATTTCTTTTGGCATATTCGCTAATATTCTTTGGCTGCCTTATTAAATCAAAGGCCCCTGGTCACGAATGAATTTTTCCTAAATTACTATCATCAATAATCAATATATTCAATTAATGTGGGAATACCAATTATGCCCCTACCAAATATTGCCGATGCAACTACCACGCCTCCACAAGCATCCATCTCAATAAGGTCAGAGTCGTCAATGTCAAAACCTGTCTTATGTCCCGGTTTCACTCCTTTGACAAACCTTTTGTCAAATTCAACAGACACAAATGGAATTAGATAAAATTCATGATAAAATAAACTAACTGAGTAATAAGAATGAAAGTTTAAGCAGCCTAAAGCAATCATACCCACAATGTACGCTCATTGACTCTTTTATATCATAAGAATCATTCCTCAATCCAAGAGAAGGATATCCACCGAATTCTGAACCACCAAATTCAGATTTAGTCAAAGTTTCTTCATGAATATATGTCAGGTTTTTCAGCACAGGGGAAAAAGATGGTGCATTTGGCATACGAGCAACAGCATCTTCCAGAGGCAGGTAGCAAACTGGACATGCTACATAAACAAATTATTCATGAAAATAACAAGGTGTCAAGATCTACATCGACTTATAATTAATCTAAAAAACGATTATCACAGAAAAAGAAAAAAAAAATGCAAATAAGTGCAGATAATTTTAAACTCACGACGTGGACCAGTTCTTTTTTTATCTGCAGGTGGAGGAGGCAACGTGAAATGCTCGCATGGATTTCCGGGAGGAAGCTTATATCCAGTAAAATATGTAGGGGAAGGAGGTGGAGTGAGAGGTGATAGGGTTGCATTTACACCACCCACCAAATCTTTATCTTGAGTAGAAATATCTTCACTCGTGTTCTTCTCCTGAGATACAGGCCCTGTTGAATGCCTATGCTCTGAACTATGTTCTCTCGAGCATCTTCACCTGCAAGTAACAGAAAGTACAGATTATAACGAAATCTAGCAATAAAATTACTGATCAACAATAATTTAATCATCCTTTTTCCCTATGTCCAATTCAAACACAAATACTAAATCCATATCTGAATGTTCCAAATTTCCATCAATAAACTCGCGAAAACATCATATCTGTAAGAAGCTTCATCACAAATCATAACAACAACAACAATCATTATTAAGCCAAACCTTTGCCAACATATAACACCCATCCGAAAACTGCAGAGGAAACAAGGCACAAAAGCAGCATCCCAACCTTCTTTCGAGGGGCGAACTTGCAGAACAAATGAAACAACTTCTCCTTCTCCTTGAGCATCTTTGGCGGCTTTCTAGGCGGTGTGGTTTGAAAAGGCAATGATAGCAAGCCATTTCGGATTTGCTGCTGCTGTTGCAATGAACCATAACTCCCTGAAGATCGAAGGCCAAACGATCCTCCTCCTGTACTCATTATCCCCAAGCTCCACAGCTCATCTCCCTCTTCTCATCAACACTATCAACTGCGATATTGAAGTACAGAAAGCCAAGCACCGAAAAAAAAATGACTTTTTTTTTTTTTTTGCTATATATATATCCCTCTCCCTAATCTCACCACCAATTTAGGCTCAAATCATAAAAGCCAGTGACCCCCACCAAACTCTGAATCATTATCACTTTGCAGCTGCTAAATCCACTATATTCACATAAAGAGCCACTTCATGGAATATATGAGAATCACAGACAACGATCAGTTTTCCCTGTAAACCTATACAATAAATTGACGAAATATAAATGATTAATAGCTGAGGCTAGAAAAAAACCCAACTGAAGTTCCGACTCAGTGGAATGAATTTAGATTAAGAGCTCCAGTCCTTTTGGATTCTTAACATTTGATTGGATCAAGGAATTTATGGTCGAGGAAACCTAATGCAATGTAAACACCTAGAATCCAATCACAACACACTATCCGCGTGAAATTGGGAAATAAACCGAAAAGTCTACAAATCACACTATCTGAAAATGAAAGGGATATCAAGAACGGATTAATACAAGAAAATGAGATGAAGGGCCTAATTTCATGGGCTTGGCGGGGAATTTGATCTAGGGTTTGTTTGAAGTCGATCCAGATCACCACCCAATCGCTTCAAATTGGGGGGATCTATTTGAAATTTTTTTCCCTATATTTTTTGGTGTAATATAGGAGTTCTCTAATACTAAAATAATAACTTTTTTTACAAAATAATAATTTTTTTTACTAAAACGTTGTAGGGATATAAATATATTAAGATTAACATTTTTTCTAAGGACATGTTTGTATACAAAAATTTTTACTCAAAATTTTATTAACTCTAAATATAATTCAACTTTAACTCAACTCTAATATCCTCAATATTATCAATATAATTTAATAATATAATCCAATCATTCTTACACATCACATCTATTTTAATTCACTATTTATCCACCGACATAATTTTAGCTAACAATCACTCATATATCTCTTACTTTTACATCAAATTAATTTTAATTATTCTAATATAAATTTAAAATCTCACTAACAAATAACCATACAATTTTTTTCCAAATTAACTCTAGTAACAAAAAAAATCCACTTTTTGAGTGAAAATTTTTGCATATAAACATGTGTCTTTTCCAATCTAAAATCTTTCCTACTTTCAGAGAGAAGGGAACAGTGTGTTTGTATATGGTTTAACCAACCCAAACAAAAAATCCAATTAAAACAAAAACTTTTTATATCCAAGCATAACTCAATCCACTATCATTTATATCATCAATATAACTAAATAATATCAATCATCAAATTTAATTCACTATTCATTCACTCACATAATTTTAACTAACTATCACTTCGCATCATCTTTCTCCTACTTTTATATCAAATCAATTTTAAGTATTTAATTTAAATAATATTTCAATATAAAATCAAAATCCTACTAACAACTAATCATATCATATTTTTTAAAATTAACTACAGTTAACAAAAAAACCTCGTTTTGAGCATATATATGTATATACAGACTCCATTGTATCCCTTTGGCAATTTTCTCTTTCATTGTTAATGATTTTGGGCTAATTCACTCGTAAAATTTGATGGCATGTGTTTAAAATGTTTCTTATTTAGTTCGATAGAAGATATGACCTTTAATTATGTGAAAAAATGGAAAGTGATGTTGAAGAAAATCATTAGCTTTGGTAAACACTATGCCTTTTATTTTACTTAGATAAAAAAAACGTAGAAAAATAAATAGTGTAAAAAGTATGGTTTATGATAAAACTGATGTAATTTTATAATAATTTTTGTAAATATTATTTTTATTCAAATTTATATTACTAAAAAAATGACGAAAACAATTATATTTGGACCAACTCATTTCTTTTATTTTTTGTAATGATTTTGACTAAATATTTCTGCCAAAATTGATTTTTGTCTTAATCTAATAACAAAAATAGTTTATAATATTTGTAAAGCATTAATATTTGTTTCAAAAAGTTATGACTAACACCCAAGAACACGTGGGTGAGATGGTTGGGGTCTCTCCCAGCTTAACCAGAGGTCTCGAGTTCGAGCCCTGGGAATGCAGCTGTGTTAAAACTCTTGAGGTAGAGCTTTGCCGCCCTTGTGGTCCTACCCGGCTCGATTCCGGATTAGTCGGTCCCCTAGGGGATTCGGAAACCGGAAGGTTCATTGTACCAAAAAAAAAAAANATCTAAAATAGTAACTTTGACTTTGTAATTAAATTGGTTGACTTACTATTAACAGAAATATAGTAAGAAAATACTTTACTATTTAAAAAAAAAAAATAGTCAAATTATATCTACCTGTTGCAAATCGTGAAATTCGGTTAATAGCATGACTTTCTATATAAATATAGTGGTATCGAATTTGAAAATTGTTTTGTGATATTATCACAATAAAAGTTCGATTATTTATATTAATTATGAATAACTGCAATTTCATATTCTTTGGTAAACCAACCATATACTGGGATTTTGTACAACATGTCTTCTAAAAAGAGACTATTACATAGGTTTCATTTGTAGAAAATATTATTTGAATATACATGATAAAATTATAACTATAATAACAAAATAAAAATTAAGAATCAGTTATGCCAAACTGACATGTAAATTTTTAGTTTAGAAAGAAAAATATAAATATTTATAATATACATTGGTACAAATTATGACGACAAATCAACGGATCATCTATCGAACTATCCACATAAATTATTAACTTACATTTTTTTTGCAATGTATATGGTTATAAATTATAATGATAACCTAACAAGTTATCTATCGAACAACGATGTAAGTTATTATCTTAGAAAAAAAAAATTATAATGTATATTGTTATTAATTATAATGATAAATCATTAGGCGTCAAAATGTCCTATAAATTAAGAGGTTACAAATAAAATTCAAATTACTTATAATATTCCTCATTATAAATTATAAAAAATAAAATAAAATAATACTGATGTAATTAAAAATTATTAAATTTTTTAACTTCCAAATAATATATATTATAGTCTTTTTCAAGTCAAAGGTGTCTTTAGGAGGATATTGGAAGTAAACTTGGAACGCTTCTTTCCTGTCTTCCTCATCCATACCAATTGTAGTTGTAACAATAAATTTCGTGTATTGAATTTATAAATACGAAAAATATTATTCAAATGAATTTCTCGAATAAAAATAAATATAGCGTGTTACAATCTCTAATTTCTCCTCTGATTCTTCTCACGAACAATTTTAAGTCTTGGAGCGAAATCTTCGGCTTGATCTTTTTCTTGACTTGATTTGACTTGAATTAATGTTAATCCGAGGGCCAACGCCTTGATTTCGGATCAAACGTCGAAATATCCCAAGAACGCGAAGAACACAAATCCTTTGTCTTCGTTGCAAAGTAGATCTTGAATCTTCTCTACGCCGGTTTTGAATTTACTAACGTTATTCGGAGGCTTGCAGCTTGTTTCCGGATTGAACGCCAGTCTTGATGTTGAACGCGTTTGAATCTTGCTTCGAATCTTCAAGAACGCCTTTAAATCTTCAAGAACACTTGAATCTCGTTGAGAGAATTCTCTAGAGCTCTTGAATTTGAATATGAATTATGAGATGTGTTTTTGGATTTAGGGAGAGCCCCCTAATTTATAGGTGTAGGATGGAGAACCCTACCAAATTTAAGAATCGTAGGACGCGATTCGATTAGTCCCTGCTGATTCACATAAGATCTTCTAGATCCACTTAAATCTTCCAAGATATTCTAGAAGATATGATTTATTTACCAAGAAATAAAATTTGGCACTTGACATTATTTGATTAGTCAAGAATTAAAATATTAAAATATCAATTAATTAACTATTTATATTTAGGAATTAAATATATGGAAATTCCTAAAATATAAATAGAAAATATGACTTGATTTTTAATAAATTAATTTTCACGTGGCGCTATTTGATTGGCCACAAATTTCATGCATCTACAGTAGTGTTTGGATAATTCATTGGGGATGGCTTGTCTTAGATATATATCACAATCTGAAAAAATAAGAAAAAAAAAATAAACCCCATCGTAGGGAACTATTTGAAGTCTCAAACTAAAGAAATGCCTTCCCAATACTATCCTTGTAACGAGGTCTGTCATATAGGGAGCGAGACAGGGCGAAGTATGAAGTAGTCACCTTCGGTGCCAAATTTACGTGGCCGTAATTTTATTCAGGAAAGATGTCCGGTCAATTAACCCAGTGGGAGAGGAAGCACCCCCACACTATATCCATTCTTGGGGTGTGCCCTCGAGGAACGTAGCTTTCTCAGAAGTCTTCTTAACCTAAGACAACAGATCCAGAGGAGCAAGCTTAATCATGACGGAGGGCGTGAGATCCTTTGAATGCAAACGAACGGGACAGATCCTCCTGTCCTTTTTCTCTACCAGTGAGCGAAGAGCAGAGAGGAAATAAGGGGACAGACCCTTAGGCAAAGGACTGAAAATCCTCTTGTCACCAGTTCAAATCTGGTTTCCTGACACAGTTTCATTTGTA